TTTATAAAAAAGGAATGTTAATTAGATTAACCCCCCCCCCCCCCAATAGGCGCCCTTCCATAAAAGAACCCCCCCCCCCCCCTTATTAGAAGCCCTCCTTTGAGAGGTCTCTCCAGCAGAATTTTCTGTTTTCCCCAGCGGAACACGACCAAAGTTCTGAAGACCAAATACAAGCCACCGGGAGCTTCTATTATGGGGGGAGGGGGGGAGGATTACTAGACGTCTTATCGATAGTACAATATTCTCAAAAAGGTATGGTAATGCTTAATTTTTCTAGGAAAAAGATTTGATGAGACATATCGTTTTCTATATTGTTGAAATAATTTAAATCAAACAAGATCTGTTCTTCATTGAAATTTTGACCAACTTATAATCGTACTGCTTAACTTTTGCGTAAAGAGCTTTTATTGTAAAATTGTTCTGACTTCTGACTTCATTAAAACGTCTTAAGCCAGAATTAGAACAATATGTCATCAAACCGATATAAAATATTAAAATAAAAAAATGAAAACTGTTTGAGACACAAAAAGAGACAATATGCTGGAAAAAAAGTGTATAAATATTGTAAAAAAATAAGAACTAATTAACCATTAGAAAAAAAGAAAGAACAAATGATACGCAAAAAAAAAAATGATTTTTTTATTCATGCTAATGCGCGCATATTCAGTTTATAATTTCCATTCTTGCATTGCCTTTAAAAATTCTAAATAGCAAAAACATGATCTAAGTGATCCTCGTGTACTTATTCATTATTAAAAAAATGACTTACCTTTTAATGAGATATGTTCATTGCCAGCATCTGATACCATACCAACGAATAGAATGGCCTCGCTTTCTGATAAAAATTTTGTTTGTCGATTAAAATAAGACAATAGTTCAGTGGTTGTTATTATACCATCACCATCCTAAACGTAGGAAAATAAAAAAATTGATCAAAATAATTAGTTGAACAATAATATACAAAATCGATATCATTGAATAAATCGGTTAAATCAGATTCTTTTGCATCATTCGTCAAATCCTCTCCAAAATAGTCTTTAAATTCTTTATATTGTATAAAACCATCGCCTAAAAAGCTAAGAACAAGTCAAATGAAGTCAATATCAACTACTTATTCATACCATTTTGATCCATTTCAGTAAATGAACCAAGTAATTCTTGATCAGTTATTGTTGAATCGATCGTTAACATATACGATCGATATTTCCAGTAAGATATTCTCGCATCATCGCTATTATCAATAAAATTAAATACTTTTCGAGCAGCTAAAAATAACAGATTGTTTATAGATGTATTGGTATATAGGATGTCAAAAAGTAGAATTACTATACAATTTGGGAAAGAATAATCACCTGGCGTTGATTTCTTTTCAAGTTTTATCGATGCAATATTTGAAATTTTTTTGTCATCAAGTGATGATAGTAATTGAATCGAATTTTCTTTGGTCGATTTTCTTGATCGATTTTTTTTGTGATGTTGTTGATGATGAAGAACACGACGTCGACCAACAGATTTTTGCTCACTTAGAACACACTAAAAATTTAATTTTCTGCAGTCAGATACCATGAGAATTATGCTCGATGGTATCCTTACATGATCTTTTGTACATGACACCTGATCTTCTACTTTCAATGCTATCAGTGCTGGTAAATTGTTGGCATGTTTAAGGACGGAAGTCATGATACCGTTTATCTATAAGAAGAAAAGTATTTTCAGATTTCTTCTCTACCAGTCGATGACGTTTCAATAGCGTTTAATAAGACAAATAAATGATTATTTGTCGTAATAAAGCAACAATAATCAGACATACCATAAAGATGCTTTATTCTTGCAAGTTGAATATGGGTTGTGTTTACTATCTTCAATTTTAATTGTATATGTGTGTACGTCCGTTTTTAGTAGTTAAATAGACAGTTTTAACTCTATCACTTTCATACATACAACACGCGTACACTTTTCTTTTCTCCACGTGCACAGTGGAAGAAAGTTTGATGAAGAAAATTAAAAAAGATGCAGAGCGCTTTGAAGCTGCGTGGATGAAAATATACTGAAAGTAACGTAGAACACATTCTTAAAATAAATAAATGGCTCACATTCGATGATTTCTTGAGCTACTTCTTAATTGAGACCGTCTCAATTTGGAAGACTTGATTTCTTTTGCTTCTTGACGAGAAATAGTAAAAGTGTAATTTATGTACAGAGATGATTATGGGCGTATGTGGGCAAACCAGACAGTAGTGTGAATGTACACTATTTTTGGATGTTTTCATGACGTCAAAAACGGCGTAACTAATGTTTATTAAATACCCGTTAATAACCCATCCAATGTCTGTTAAATGGACATTTTTAGGTCATTGTCATTATTTTTTTTCAACTTTTTTAAACATTTAAACTGAAAATGTATTACTGCTTAAAGGTGACGGTTTTTAGACGATCAAGAAATGGACATTTTATGATATTTGTTCTGAGGACATAATTGTACTATTATGAGTCGTTGACCATCTATTTTTGGGGCAGTTTTCACAAGCAGTTTCTTTCTGACTGATGATCTCTCGACGATTGAATTCGTTCAATACTTTTGTTTTCAATACTTTTGGTTCCTTAGAATCATGTACCATTACTTGTATCAGTCCCTCCAGAACTAGAGTGACAAGTTTCGATAGCTTGTATAATTGAAGAAGAGAAAATTCTAAGTTTTATCAAAACATTCAGGGTCACATTTATATTGGCTGTAATAGCGAAGCAAAAGGATGAATGATTTGTTGATAAATGGATAAAAACTGATATTTAACTGCTAACGCTAAATGCTAGTTTAGTGGCGAAGTCGATTTTTATTTCATAGAAGTCATACACTATAAATAAAGTGCGACAAAAAGTGTTTTTTATGAAAACTGTTTTGCTATAAAGCGCATGGCTAAACATAGGCGTTTCAGGTATAGAGAAAATAAATCACTTTTGATCTGCTGTAAACTAGAGCACTTCGTGAAAAAACGCACTTTCAAAGTGATTGCAAAGAGGACATTTTTAAAAATCTATAGTAGAAAGATGCTTTTGAAGTGACCCAAGAGAAAACAGTGTGACATGAAGCATTTTTTTGAAAAGGCACTTTTTAAAATCATGTTGACAAGTCATTCACCTCTTTTATTTTGCTATTACTACTAGTATATATGTAACACTGATTTCCTTCGAATAACTTAGAAATTTTTCTCTTGAACAAGTCATCGAAGCTTGTCTCGAAGAAGTAGCCTTAGCCTATGGATTAGTGTTAGTGATAGTATCAGACTTTTGAGACTGGTGCTAAGAATAGTTCCATGGTTCAAAGGAACTAAAAATTAACAAAATTAGAAAATCATATTTATACGTTCAAAATCAAATATAATGAAATTCGACAAATGTCATTGGAAAAAGTGGCCTAGAGAAGACCACTTTCAAAAGCAATCTCTTGTGGCGCTGATCCTATTTGTAGCGATCTTTATTTGATTTACTTTTCAAGTGACCACTGGGAAGCGCTTTGCAAGTGGTTTTCTTTAAAGCACTTTTCAAAGTGTTCTCCAGTCAAACACTTCAAAAGCACGGTAAAACAAGACCGCTACAAATGGGATCAGCACCATCGACGAGCGCTTTCTTTTTTACAGTGTATAGCTAGAGTTATGAAAATACTCATAATACTATTTCTAAAGTGAAATAGTGTAAGAATTAAGTGCCGTATATGCAGTTTGGTTTGAATTAAATATCAAGAAGTAACTTCTAGTATATTAGGACGTTTTAGAAATCAGAACAAAAGTAAAGTGATAGTAATTACTGTCACTCTCGAAGTTTTTCAATTGTACAAAGATATTCATTTTCTCAAAAAGGTGTTAGATATTGTTAACAATGATATAATGATAATAAAAAAATATTGCAAAAATTGAAATACAAATTGGTGCATTCAAACGTTCAACCGTTTATCAATTGCTATCAATTAATAATAAAATGTAGCATATTTTAAATATAGCAAATTTTACTATATTTATTGAGCTATTATTGACAAGAATATTTGTTGCACAAATTGTAATTCATTTCAGTAAAATATTAGAATCATGAACATGTACAATTAAATAAAAAATAATCGTAGAAAAAGATATATTTAATATTAAATAAAGACACCATATGGGCGATGGAACGCAGAGAGATTGTGTTTGAAACTTGTTGGAAGACAATGTGAAATACGTCCTTACGTACACGATACAAGGTTATTATTCGATAGTATATGAGGTATGATGAGAAAAAAGAGCAAAAAAAGATATCATTTATACAAGAACGTATGAAACAAAAAGTAGCGATCAAGAGAGAACACAGACAAACAATAAAAAAGAATAAAACTAAAATTTTTTCAAAACGACGGCTAATGAGACTATGTAATAGAGACAGGTACCTTTCTGTTAGTTTTTATTTGATGATGTACAGAGTGCAACAGTTTGTATCATATAAAAGTAGAACGTTGGTAGCTCACTAAAAACATTGGGAATCACTAAAAACATCATATACATACTCTTTTTATCTTGAATCGTTCTCATAAGGGGACGCTTTCCTCAACAACTTCAACATGAAATGGAGTTGAAGTTTATACTCAGGAGCTAAGGATTTTCAGCGACTTTTCTCTCATAGCAACGAATGTCATCCTGTTTTGTTGAGAGCAACTCATGTGAAAAATTATCTCAACAACGAATGTAGATTGAGTCGGATTACCACAGCAAGTAATGCAGTTTCAACAGTTATATAAAAAGTTCTAACCGCTTACAATAACATAACTACATTTTGAGGAGTTTCACATTTTAGCCCCAGTATATACAAGAGGTAAAACAGTGTAGTATTGACAAGAAACTTTTCTTTACTCTTCGATACTTGACAGTGCATTGTTAAAAATCTGTGTTCTTCAAAAAACAAAAAAAATGATCTTCATTTGTCCCCTATGGAGATCATATATGTCTTCTCCAAAGATTTGTACAACAAGAATCTTCAGTTTTCTGAAGAACAAAATCTTTGTTCTTTAAGTTTTTTGATCCCTATAGGGGACAACTTATTCTTCAGAGAACAGGTTTTTCAAGAACTTCCAAAAAACTGAAGAACAAGGTTTGTGTTCTCTGAAAAACACAAAAGATGAAGATCACACTTTCTGAAGAACAACACTTTTGTTCTTCAGATTTTTT